GTGTTGGTTTCGGGGAGCCAAATGTCATAATTTGGATTTTCGGGAGTTAAAGTGTATTTCTCGGATTTATTTTGTAAAGATTTTCAGAAGTCAAGGGGTGTTTTGTAATTATTGGACTTAGATTGAAAGGATTTTGGAATGTTGAGGGTTAAATGGTAACTTCTGGGACTTGAATTGTTATGAATATTGGATGCTGGGGGCTGCTTTGTAAATTGTAGCCTGAATTTGAAAAAGATCTTATGGGGAGGGACCAAATGTGTAAAATGTGCATAAATTTTAATAGAGCGGGACTTAAACCTGGTGCCTCCTTTCCATTCGGTTGCAACACCTTAACCTTAAACCTAATGCATCTTCAGCCGCCACCCTTATAAGTCCATGCTCCAGCTGTCGCCGCCTTCAGTCACACAAGGACCGCCGAGTATACATGCGATTTTCTATATTCAGGGGGTTGTATGAGCAATGTGTTGGCCGGAAAAGCAAGCACCACCATCGTGAAGTGGTGGCTACCATCTCTTTTGCTGCCACGAGCCACCGGGGAGTGGCTATGTGTGTGATTTGGTGTATGTGTGTGTGAGCATAATTCATAAGTCTAATGTTGTATAGATTCTCTTGGCCAGGAAACTGAAGAAAACTCATCACCACCACCGTGAGATGGTGGTTGCCACCTGCTGTCGCCGTTCCGCCACTGCTAGCCATCATCTCCGGTGGCTGGGGGCTTTTGGGTGCGTTTGGATTGATGTTTGGAGTGCTTTTGGTTTTGCTTCTGGCTAAGATCATAACCACCACCACCACGAGGTGGTGGCTACCGCCGTAAACCACCACCAACCACCACTGCCCGAGGTAGTAGTGGGTGAGACCCGACTTTTTAGAATTTAATTAATGTAGAAAACTTAACTATTGGATTAATTGATTTGTGATTTTGTTGGAAACCCTAATTAGGGTTTAGAAAAGCCTAATGTTGGGAATGTGAGTTTTGGATTTGTTGGGACCCGCGTTGGACCGTTGGATTTGGAATTTTGAATTACTCCCGACCACATTGTATGTTTGGTCTAGTGGAGTAATGGACTTAATGAATTAAGTCCTTAATGGGTTAAGTAAGAACACTTAACCCTAATCGTCATTTTATGTGAAAACCCGAATTTTGTTTGGGCCTTGAGTTGGGTCTTTCTGTTGGGCTTTGGTGATTGGGCAATTGATGGGTCATCCAAGAACAAGTATATGGACTACAATATTTGGATGGGTTTTAGGGTAATGCCTATGTGAGGGGTTTGGGCCTAATTCGTAAAATTGGGCCATAATGGTCCTTGATGATTATGAGATATTGGACCATTGGAATGCCAAGTGTTTGGACTGGAATAAATGGTTGAGCCTTAAGGTAAGACCATGTAGAGGTTTGGGCCTAATTTGGAAAATTGCGCTATATGTTGGGCCTTGGTTGATTATTGGGCTTTTTGGCGTTCAGAGTGTGAGTTTGGGCCTTAGTTTTGAACCGAGCTACGTTAGGGGTAAAATGGTCCATTTACCCCAAGTGTAGATTTATGGTTATGTATTGAAACCCAAATGGTTAATTGGGTTTTGTCTTGATGATTGACAATACGATGATCGGTCAGCCAACAGTCAGAGATTTATTCGCAGGACTTCAGCAGTGCGAGGTGAGTCTCCTCACCATACCAATGGGTCGAAGTCACCCAGGCCGGCCTATTCAGTTAGTTGAGATAATTAATGTAGAATAATTATTGATATGCCTAGTATGTATGTGAATGTGTTAGTACTTTGTTGGTTAGGCATGGAAGACCCCGGGGGCAGCACATGGTAGTTGGATATTAGACCATAGGGGGAGCCCATGGCATTCCAGGTAAAGACCATGAGGGAGAGCCCATGACACATAGGTATAAGACCCTGAGGGGAGCCCACGACATCCTGGAGTAAGACCCTAGAGGGAGTCCACGACATCCCTATATGTTTAGATATGTGTTATGTACTATGATAGTTATTTCTGTGATGTATGGTATGCTTGTTGACTCTATGTCATTTACATGGAAGACCCCGGGGGGAGCTCGTGGCAATTGGATATTAGACCATGGGGGGAGCCCTTGGCATTCCAGGTAAAGACCATGGGGGGATCACATGGCACATAGATATAAGACCCTAGGGGGAGCCCACAACATCCTAGAGTAAGACCCTAGAGGGAGTCCATGACTTCCTTATATGTTTATATGCATTATTTATGTGATATGTGGTATACTAGTTGTGTATGCAGTATGTGGTATACTAGTTGTTTATGTGATGTGTGATATGCTAGTTGTCTTTGTGATACTTGCATGGAAGACCCCGGGGGGAGCGCGTGCCAGTTGGATATTAGAGTATGGGGGAAGCCCATGGCATTCCAGTTAAAGACCATGGGGGAGCCCATGGCACATAGGTATAAGACCCTGGAGGGAGGCCACGACATCCTTATATGTTTGTATGCATGGCCTATGTGGTTTATGTAGCTGATATAGCTAATATGATTTATGTGATTATGCGGATTGTGTGGGGGGTATGCTCTAGGGAACTCACTAAGCTTCGTGCTTACAGTTTTGTTTATGGTTTCAGGTATCATTGGTTTGGAAAGGATGGGCCCGACATGATCGCAACACACACACCTATGTTTCCGCAATATGTGATTTTGGGATGAATTATGATAAATGTTTTAATTAGCAATGTTTTTGGAATGCTTGAATTCAAATGATATATGTGTTTTAACTATAAATAAAATGAAATTTTTACCCCTGTTTTTTTGGGTCGTTACATCTTCCCGGGAATTCACTCTCAAAACACAACTTCTCAAACTCGAGATGAAAGATGATGAATCTTCTTTGGCTTACTTGACAATGGCCCAAACATATGCCAGCGTTCTCGCTAACATTGGGGAACCCGTAAAAGAAAAAGACCTCGTCCTAATGGTCATCTTTGGACTCAGGTGTGAATACAATAGCCTGAAAATGACACTTCGTAGCCTCTAATTCCCGACAGCCTTTACCGAACTCCATAGTTTCCTACAAGACCATGACTACTTGATGAAGAAAACCGTCCCTAATGTCTCTCCTGCCCAAGCTTTCACTACAGCCACAAACAGCCACGCCTCTGCCAGTTTTTTCCCGCAATCGGATAGCTCATCGCCCTTCGGCAGCTATTGTCACAACTTAGAATTCATGCCCTAAATAACGACACGCAATCTGCACAAGCCTTTTACACCAATCGGTCCTTTTACACCAATCATATTTTGAAGTTTATACTTTCCAAATACAATTTACCTTTACAAAATAAATGTTCTAGTACCGTGTATGATTCTTGTTTCATTGGCAAATATGCTAAACTTTCTTTGGTACCGTCTCCTTATAAAAGTTCAAATATTTTGGATTTGGTATTTTGTGATGTTTGGTGGCCAGCACTTGTGGAGTCATTTGATAATCCCTCTTACTTTCTCTTGTGTGTTGATCATTACATTCGATTTATGTGATTCTTTCCTCTCAAGTTTAAATCTGATGTCTTTGCAACGTTGAAACAATTTGTTACTATGACCGAATGGCAATTTCAAACAAAAATTAAATTTGTTCAAACTGACTGGGGCGGAGAGTTTTGCAATCTGTCTCAATTATTCTATTCCCTTGGTATAACTTATTGCCTCTCGTGTCCCCACACCAGCGAACAGAACAGAATTGTTGAATGGCGACACCAACATGTCGTTGAGGCACGTCTTACCCTATTGGCCCAGTCCCGCGTTCCTCAACGGTTCTGGCACTTTTCCTTTGACGCAACCGTGTATCTTATTAATTGGATGACTTCGCGCAATTATTCGAATATTTTGCCATTTGAAGATTTGTTCGATCATCAACCTAATTTCACCTTCCTTCGGGTCTTTGGATGTCAGTTCTTTCCACACTTACCCCTGTAAAAAAATGGACTTCCATTCCACATCTTATGTGTTTATTGGCTATAGCCCTTCTCATCATGGCTACAGGTGTTTGATCCGGAGTCCGAGCGTCTCTACATCACTCGTCATGCTCGATTCACCGAACATCTACTCCCTTACCAACAATCCTTATCACCACCACCACCACCTCCTACTCCTGAACCCTACTTCTCCACCTACCCTACCTCTGCCATCCCCACAACCGAATCTCTCTCCTCTATCGTCCCCTCTCCACCGTCTACACCGCCCCGCCCCACAAAGGTTAATCCTATTGCCGAACAAACGCCCCTTCCACCACTCATCCACACATAGCAACGATGACCCAAACCCCCACCACCATCTCCCACAACTGATACTCCAGCACCCATTACTACCTCTACCACACCCACCCCGGCCAACCCCGTCCCAGACCACGAACCTACGCCCTAACCCCAAAAAGGCCACACCATTCCATCCCACCGCTAACCACAATATCGGTCCCTCTCCTGACCTCGAACCTACTTCCTTTACTGTTGCCAACAAGGATCCCCGTTGGCATAGTGCCATTAATAATGAGTGCTCTGCTCTTATGTGGAACTGTACCTGGACCTTGGTTCCCCGGGCCCCTAACTCTAATGTTATTGATTGTAAGTAGGTATACAAACTAAAGAAAGATCAACATGGCAAGGTTACACTCTAAGGCTTCCGACAGGAATCCGGTGTCGATTATCACGAGATCTTTAGCCAGGTAATTAAAACAACCACCATCCATGTTGTATTATCCTTAGCCGTAACCCAGAAATGGTCTCTCAGGCAACTTGAGGTACAAAATGCATTCCTTCATGGCGATCTTTAGGAAACTGTCTATTTACACCAACCTCCGGGCTTCGTAGACGAAAACATACCAAATCATGTTTGCCTGCTTCATAAATCACTTTACGATCTCAAGCAGGCACCACGATCCTGGTTCCACCGGCTCTCCGCTGCCTTTCATTCATTCGGTTTTTAGGTCTCCAAGATAGACCCGTCCCTATTTATCTACTCTCACGGTGGCACTCTCTTATATATGTTGGTCTACGTCGATGACATCATACTTACCACGAACAACCAACACGCCATTGATGACATGGTTTACATGCTCAGTCAGACTTTTGCGGTACAAGACTTGGGTGGTATTTCGTATTTCCTTGGCCTAGAAGTTACACGCCACAACCTTGATCTTGTCCTCTCACAGCGAAAATACATTCATGAGCTATTAGAACGAGCTGGCTTGGCTGCTGCCAAACCTGTCCCCACCCCCATGACGACCAATATCACCCTCGCCCTTAGGGACAACCCTGCCTTCTCCGATCCAGCTAAGTACCCCAGATAGTGGGTTCCCTTTAGTTTGTTACCCTGAGCCGCCCATATATTGCTTTTGCAATCAACAAATTCTGCCAATTCATGCACTCACCAACTAACAATCACTGGTCAAATGTCAAACAGATTATTTGGTACTTACATGGTACCGATACCTACGGCCTACGGTTCACCCATGACTCTCCTACAATTCTTCATGCATACACCGATTTTGCCTACAACTCGTTGACAGGATTCTCAGATGCCGATTGGGCGGGCTATCTGGACGACCGTCGATCCACGGGGGATATGTAATATATGTTGGCTCTAATCTTGTTTCCTGGTTTGCACTATAAGAAAAGACTGTCTCTCGGTCGTCCACGGATTCGGAATACAAAGCGTTGGCTGATACCATCGCAGAAATCAAATGGATTCGAGCACTTTTACAAGAACTATGCATTCTCGTCAAATATGCTCCAACGTTATGGTGCGATAATCTTGGTGCTATGTACTTTTCGGCTAATCCTATTTTCCATGCTCGCACAAAGCACATGGAAATAGACTTTCACTTTGTTCAAGAGAAGGTTGCACGACGACGGCTTCAAGTTCAGTTCATTTCCACCGACGATCATATTACAGATGTGTTTACCAAACATTTGTCCTCACAACGTTTTGTTATGTTACGATCCAAGCTACAAGTTGCTTCCCGGACTTAGCTTGCGGGGGGATATTAGACAAATAGTTAGTTATATATTAGAGGTTCTGGATGTAAATATTATGCCTATACATATTCCCTTGTACGTGTTTCCTATGCAATATACAACACACAAATTTACCCTAGATTATGAACTCCAAGCAAGCAATCAATAATCTCAGTCAAATAACATGTTGTTAGTTAAAATTATGAAAATTCAACTATTCAATGAATGCATATTGATTTATGTGAACCTTATATTTTTCTCTGAGTTATGCTTTTTCTTTTTGGTATGATTTGCAATGTCGATGGTTCTTTTAATGCTAACACTAAGTGAAGAGTGGGTATTCCAAGCTACTCGGGTATTCATTTGCGAATTTGAAGACCGATATTACTTCGAGGGGGAGTTGGTCTTGATCGCGCGAGCTCGACTAAGCCAATTAACACTACAATAATCAAAAGAAATGTGTCATGAAAAATTTCCCCCTTAACCAATTAACTCTACCACAACCTTTAGAGAAGCTACTATGGAGTTCATAATTCTCAAAAGCTAAACATTGTTCGAGAGGATCTAATTTATAAAACCAGTTACTAGAAAATTGCTCAAATGGACAAAACTACTCTATAGCACTAATACTTGCTGAAATTAGACTTTACAAACACTGAATTTAATAAGTAATTAGCAAATCTTCTAGAACTTAACATTCTTGCTAAAAATGTTTTAGTTTTTTCCTGACCAGAATAAAGAAAAGTGGATGGAACGTACCTAGTGATTGATGGAGCAGGGGGCGATAGGCGAGCAGACAAGAGGATTTACAAGAGTTGGGGGCGAAGGAGGGCATAGGATATTTGTAGTTCATGTTGGAATGCTTATTAATAGCCTCTAATTTGTTCCTGAAATCGCATCAATGGAAGTCAATTTGGAAGGTGAATTGAACTTTTCCTATGTTAGAAACGATCTATAGGTCACGTTGGACCCCATCACAGATATCACTGTTGTACAACACCATGGTTTCTTGTCCAGAGAAGCAGATAGGGGTAATGTTGTAAAAAAACCCATATAGATCACATCGTATCTTTCACGTGATTGGTCTGAGCATAATGCTCTCGTCGGAGTTACGTGATCTTCTCTGCAAAGTGGCTGCTCTGCCGGAAAAATGTTTTCAAGCACAAATCCAACTTCACCTTTGATATATGTAACTCATCTTAGCTAACACTGCAACTAATCAATTCGTAAACATGACAATTACACATATGTACTGATTCGACGCTAGATTAAACTTGATCCACCTAGCTTCTTTGACGAAGTTACTGCTTGTCGGATATTAGATACAGTGGAGATTAGACTCGCCCCTACCATCGAATCAACTTCCAACCTATGTAATCAAATAGTTGAAATCCTTAGTAACCACTTCACCAGAGCACTTCATTAAATCACTAAACGTTTGTCGAAATCTGAGCAGTGAATCTTTCTCTCTCTCTCTCTCTCTCTCTCTCTCTCTCTCTCTCTCTCCCTCCCTCCCTCCCTCCCTCCCTCCCTCTGCTGCTTCAACCACGCCAGAGTGTTACCACCAGAAAAACCTCATAGAAGCAATCCATGCTAGGGACCGAAAATACTTATGTTGCATATAGTTGTAGAAAAAACAATTTTCATTTTCTGTTTTTTGTTTTCCGTTTTCAGTTTTCGTTTTCAATTTTCAGCTTTCATTGGAAAATTTAGAAAACGCATTTAGTTAAATCTTATTCATTTTTCATTTTTTGTTTTAGAAAATTAGAAAACGTAATTAGATGTGCATTTTTGTATGAGTCTTTATTTTCCAATTTTTGTTATTTTAACTAACATCACACAAACCCCGCAACCCCACTCACACTCCACTCCACCCACCCAACCCTACCCTACCATACCTCATCCCACACTACCCCACCCCCACCAACCCCTACCCTACCTCATATCGATCTGAGATTGATCATCCATGGTTACCAAATTATTTCATGGTGCATTTTATTTTAATATTATTCATATGATGTTTTGGGCTAAGTTTAATGCATTAATTCATATCTTTGGAGTAGGTAGAGGTAGGTGGGTATGGGGTGGGGTGGGGTGGGTAGGTATGAGATAGGTTTGGGTGGGGTGTATGTTTGTTTGTTTGTCGGGGTGGGGGTGGGTGTGGGGTTGTGTATGTGTTTATGAGTGTGGGGGTGGATGAGTGTGTGTGTGTGTTTGTAGGGGTGGGTGTGGGGGTATGTATATATGTGTGTGTGTGTGTGTGTTTGTGGGTATGCGTGTATATGTAGGGGTGGGGTGGGTGTGGGTTGTGTGTGTTTGTGGGGGGGGAGGGGTGGTGGTTAGGGGTGGGAGTGGGTGTGGGGGTGTTTGTGGGTGTGTGTGTATGTGTTTTTTTGTGGGGGGGGGGGTTGTATGTGTGTGTGTGAGGGGTGGGGGTGGGTAGGTAGGGGTGTGGTGGGTTGGGGTGTTAAGGTGGGTAAGGTGAGAGTAGGTGTGTGTTTATATTTTAGAAAATTTTTGGAATTAGAAAAATGTGGAAAACAATGATTATTGGTTTTCCAAAAATTTCCAACTTCTTTACAATTTTAGAAAACGGATAATTTTCATTTTCCGTGAAAAATTTAGAAAAAATAGACAAACTAAACGCGTTTTTAAAATTCTCATATTTCTAGGAAAAATTTTCCGGAAAACGGCCCGTTTTTCCGTAACTAAGCGCACCCTTAGCTCTTCATCGTGCGTGGTATGAAATGGCATTGTTTCTGTCTACCTTAGATCTAGAATCTCTCCTCGAGAATAAATTTTAAGAACACGTGAAAGTAGTTTGAGCATTACCAAACTTGATTCCATTTATCTAATTCAAACCCTTTATATTCTCATCTTTACTGTAAGCCCCTTAATACTTAATTTACTAAATTAGCCTTCAAATGTTTCTGTATTTTCAGTAAGTCACAGTTCCTAAAATGGAATTGGTATAGTTTATAATTTGTATAAAACATTTATCAACTAAAATACCCAATATTCTTAACTGATATTTTTAGTTTGCTAGTGGAGACCATCCTCTTTAATCTACCATAGTTACTTTCTCTTTTTATTAACAGCCCTTAAAATAATTTTCTATTTTTTTCTACAGAAACATATTTCGTAGCTACTTGACTACGGAATATTTTATAGCCAAATAGCTACAGAATATGTGTAACACTCGATTTTGGGTACTACTTCTTTGGTCCTTTAAATTTGAGAAAAATGGAAAAATTGGTCCCTCGTACGTTGGGCGTACGTTTGGTACGCTTACCGTACGAGATCGTTTTGGTCGAGAGGATTTAACCACGTACGCTGGGCATACGGCTGCCAGGGTCAAAAACTAATTTTTAGGGTTTGAACCCTATTTAAATATTATTATAGCCTTTGGACCTCTACCCTCATCATCCTCCATTGTTCATTTCGTCCCATTGAAACCCTAATTCATTACTTGAGTGTTTTGAGATTTGAAAGTAACTTTGTGGCATTTTTATGTGTATTCAAGAAGAAGGAGCTTGGAGAGCAAGCATTTGTAGAAGTTGAGCTTTTAGATCTAGAGTCTTCATCAACTTTGTGAGCTTTAGAAAGTATAAAGTTCTTACCTTGATGATTCATTTTGATAGTTTGATATTAGGGCTTGTTGTGAGCTTTATTTGGTCCCATGGGTTCTCCTCGTGAGTTTGAGCAAATCCAGGAGTTAGATATGTTAGATCTCAGCCTCTTTGTCGTTCATGATGCATAAAAATGTCATCTTGGTAGTTGTCATTGGTCAATGCATGAGTTTGAGTTCTTATTATGAGCTTTGTTGGACAAAAATGGAAGTTGGGCCCCATTAAGACATGCTAAGGGTTAAGTAGTCCAGTACACCGGGCGTACCAAGTGGTACGTTACGCGTACTGGCGATCAGTTACGTACGTCGAGTGTATGCCTCACAGTGGCTCTTTGTGGGCTTTTGGTCTTCAGTTGGGCTTTGGAATTTTAGGCCTTAGTTAGGTTTTAGGCCATGGATTGTTTGAAGCATGAGTAGGCCTCAGGATTTAGTTAGCAGACCTTAAGTTGTATGATTTAGGCTTTTTTGGGCCTTGGGGGCCATTATTGTGTTATTGGGCTAAGGTTGGTTAGGCCCATTATGGGAAGGGTAAAATGGTCTTTTTACCCTAGGAGTTTGGGTTTCAGATTTAAACCCATGATTATGGTTTATAACCTAATTTTGATTATGGTCATTTTTTTGTGCTTAGTGTGGGATCTTCCGGTTCTGTTGCCGAGCATCTAGTTATTTATCAACGGATTGAGGTGAGTTTTCTCACTGTATCAA